GGTGGAAAAAGCCTGGAGACTGGTCTTTGTAACAAAGGTTGGTGCAGATTCCGGGCAAAATAGGCATCTCTTTATGAAGTAGCTGTGGCTGTCAGCGCCGCTGGAAATGAATGATGATCCCGCCAGAGGAGAAATTCAATTCATGGCTTCGGAGCATCTCTGCTTCTAATGCTCGTCAAGCGGTGAATTCTTCGCTCCTTTGACAATCGCCATTCCCTCATGAGCCCCAGGAAGCACGGATTTATATGTAAAACAGGCCTCACATGACAATTTAGATACGCCGTTTTGTCAGAGGGCTGGCGAATTCAACCTGTAAGCAACCATCCACCAAGGAGTTTATTCACCTCGTTATTGGTTATTTACAATCTGTCGTAAGCAAATGCGGCTAATCTCAGCCACTCGAGGTCAACTCTATTTGTCTGTTCAGAAGCGAGACATAATTTAAGAACTTTCTTTTTCAGGAGAACTTCAAAATTCTTTTGTTAGGAATAAGCAGGATTAACGACGGTCTAGAAAAGCGGAAAAATCAGGGACATTCGTGGAATTTGCAACGACCGGAAAAAATCAGGGCAAATCAGGGCATTCGAGGGAAACAACAGGGAATTTCTGATAAGTCAAATAATCGCTTTAAAACACGTCTGTGTTCCTCTAATTGGAAATAGTTTCTTCTTTTTTTTGAGGCTTGTCGTTTTTTAACCAGCCACTGAATGCATTTTTCCATAATTTGACCTAGACAAGAAAATTGTATCCAAAGTGTAGCGAAAGTCAGCGTATTTTTTTAAAACAAAACATGTCGTAATTTTGTTCAAAGGCCAGGAAAAATCAGGGAATTGGAACATTTTGGAGTCGGGCAAAAGCGAAATTAGTCAGGAAAGAGTCAAGAAAACTCAGGGATTTGAAGATGACGTAGTTATGGCAATCCTGATGATCCTCAGAGTCAAGTTCAAAAAGACAGTTGGAATTCAAAATGCAACTATTACGCGGTTTGTCATTAGCTGTTGCTCGGTATAACCACTATCTTTATTTAGAATCGAGAAATGAACGATTTAAAATTATAGCATTGGCAACGAAAATCATCGTAATTGCAGTGTTCGAGCATACACAGTGAGAAAAATCAACCAACATTTTTTGTGAATATTGGAAGTAGAACACTAAGTAACCAGAACGTGTGGTGGATATTATTTGGTTAGCTTTTCCTCGGGTTACATTGACCAGATCTTTAGGTTGAACATTCACAACCTCGTCAAAAATCAGGCGTGAGCAGCCAGGATCGAAACAGCGGGTTGATTATTGAAAAAGATAGACAAAGTCATAGACAAAGAAGACAAAGGGAAAATTGAGCGCTCCTATTGGTGGAAGTGGGTGGCTGCTATGCCCAGTGGAGATTAGAATTGATTAACGAACGGCAACCCACGAGAAACCCTATGGTTAGTCCATATTATTTTACCTCTCATTCTGTATAGCAACCATCCGTTTTAATCAATAGGATCGTTCAATTTTCCTTTGTTTTATTTGTTTGTCACTTTGTCCATCAATTTCAAAAATCAGCCTGCAGGATGGCATTGGTGATATGCCAATGCGCTAGCCATTAAGAGAAACAAGTGGACATTTTAGTCCAAGAGGATAGTTCCCTCATCCCCAGATGTTACAGAGTAATCTACAATGAAAAAAAGATTGGTAGAATTTACCATTCCTTCATGCTGTATTTCACACAGCGTCATTCTAGAGTCAATTCTACCAGAAGATAGGTAAACGTTAATATATACTGGTTCAGAGTACCATTCCTGTGGCAGAATTGACTCGAAGTTTGGTAGAATTTACCATTCCTTCACGCTATGTGAAATACGGCGTGAAGGAATGGTAAAGTCTACCAATCTTTTTTATGAGTGTACGGGTTTTGTCAATTTCACCAACAATTTGATGGAACAACAAAGGTATTTTTGTTTGAACTAACCGAGAAAAAAGTAACTGAAAGTAAGCATAAACACGAAGATTTTGAATTGCGTAGGTAGGCATTATGCTTTGTGGCAAGAAAACCCAGGATTTGTGATCCACTGCGCGGTGGAGGCCCTAAGGAGTCCTCATTCACTGCGTTCCTTTTTAATGGAGTCAGAGTGAATGGAGGGGGAGGGGCAAGGCATCAGCTGCGATTCATACTTGGCGCCCGTCTTTTAATTTTTTATGCATATCAAGTGGTGGTGGAGTTGGAGGCAGAGAAAGCCGGGGGCCGTATTCGGATTCTGCGAGTCTCTTCACAGTGCCCCTCGTTCCTCCGCCATGGACTTTTGAGGAGCACTTAAACGCCAGGCTTAATGGAACAGCCCAACATTTGTTAATGTCGTTTCCAGATTCGTTGCCAACTTGTTGTCAGGGTATTTTATTTTCAAGCTCGGAACTTCTTTGAGGCTTTGCCCGACTCGGTCCGATTCTGTCTCATCAATGGGCCCCTAAACCAAGTCTGAACTGGGATGCATTCAGCAATTAATAGGAACTAAAATTTCTGGTCCATCAGTAAAAACACTTAAGTGTACATAGAAACTTTTTTTCCTTTCTTTTTTTGGTTAAGCGTCAACTAAGGTGGTTTCGAAAATCTGCGGAAACTGATGTTACGTAGATTGTTTCTAAACTGAGCCTGAAATCGTGTTGCCGAATCGTAAAATGTAATCTAACAAGTGGTGAACATCACACGGTTTCTCTTTGAAATTTTACATCAAAGACGATTCATATGACGGGAAGTTCAAAAATCAAACTCTGAACTAGATGTAAAAAAGTTAGAAAGTTAGATTATACGAAGGACGTCATTCGTAAATTTGCCACTAGATGTAAAAAAGTTAGAAAGTTAGATTATACGAATGACGTCATTCGTAAATTTGCCATTCAACCAATGTTAATTGTAAACACTGATATCTTGTTCAAGAGTTAATCTCCAGATATCCCGTTATGTGACTCGTTTTCATCGTGAAATTTTAAAGAAATTATATATGTTACTCAGTGTTTTAATTAATATGCATTTTCTGTAAGCTCACTGTACTACAATTTACAATGAAGAACTAAGTAGCTCATTTTGAAAAAGAAAAAAAAAGAAGAAAAAAAAAAACATATGCGTCATTAATTTACGTACGCAGATACGTTCTTATATAACCGAACCGGAATTTGCAGCTCCTTCCTGAAAAATACAATCCAAGTATCTATCCAGATTTAGTCGTTAGTTTGATTAAATTTGATTATAAAGCAATAACATGACCCTGAAATAAAACCACTTCGTAGGTAAGGTCCATGATAACACACCAAGAACTTGAAAGGTCACGACTCAAGCTTACCGGCTTGATGCCGATACTAAATGACCGACTACAAGATTTGAGTGCTAGAACTAGTTTCAAACTTGTAAAGTGGAGTGAATTTCGAGAAATTTTCAGAGGATCCGCACAACCGTTCTCTTGTTTAAAAAAAAGGATTTGCTTAATGACATTTGGACAAAATTTTGCAATTAGGAACAACAATCTCTGGCTCATTCGTTAAAGCACTCACTCGCATAGGGAAATTTATGACAAATGCGTTGTTTCTAGAGTGAATTGAAAATTGTAGTTCCTAACTGAAATATACAGTCTATTTTAAAGTGTCTGATGTGACCTAGTTCCTCTTTTCCAAACGTGATCCATTTGACGTATCGGCGGCTTTTACACGAAATTAGATGTCGTAGGGGTCTTTCTGACGTAGAAATCTCAGGAAATAGGTTACAGGAGTTAATTAAGAGACGTAATCGGGTCTCGTTTTTCAAATTTCCTTCCCGAATATGCGCAACACTTGATGGAAGCATGGAGCGGGAGGATTGCGAGTTGACGCCTCGCGCCAAAGCGCCTTCAATTTTGCAGATGCGACACGGACGCCCATCGAGTGCGAATAGTTGTATCTCTACGCCGTCATCAGCGCGCGTCATTTTCCTTATTTCTATATCGTGTGTGTTTCCGTTTGTCTTATTTGTGGTGGTGCTTCAAGCGCTACGTGAGGAACAAATCCGAAGATAAGAGAGACGCGACCGGGCCTCGTTTTTCAAACTTGGTAAGATGTAAAGGCAATATGAGTATTTTACGAAATATAACGTCCAAGTGCAGAAATTCACGAAATATCTTATTTCTTTAAAACAAATTAAGATACTTCAATTTCTGCCGATTAAGGCGACCTTCATCCAACTACATGTCCGACCTTAAACTCCTAGACGTTCGTATCTCTCTAAAATTCGTAATGTCTTTACCGTAAAACAAATTAGCTCTTAGTTTTTAAGCTTTTTTATGCTTCGTGAATTTAAATGTTCTTAAAATCCTTTAACTCCCTCAGTAAAAAGAGAACAAATTTTGCTATACACTTATTGATGTTCCTATACAAACCTACTTAGAGTAAAAATAAAGTAATTATCTTATTTTATCTTATCTTATCTTATCTTATCTTATCTTATCTTATCTTATCTTATCTTATCTTATCTTGCCTTCTCTTTATCTTATCTTATTGTATTATCCTATTTTATCTTATCTTATCTTATATTTTCTTATCTTATCCCATCTTATCTTATCTTATATTTATATACAGCAGCCTTATGTTCGTGGGACTTGCTTTGTTTTTTCAGAAAATGTGAAAATATTGCTCTGGGAAGAAATATTGAAGAATTTTGGAGTTGTGGACTTGGCGAGAAAGTTATTGGGCTCTATGACGTAATAGCGTGTGGACGTCTTACGCGGGGCCCGGCGGGAGCTGGCGAATTTCGGGGAGGCCGTTGAGCCAGGCGGGAGCGGGAAGTCTGCCCTCTTGGCGGCGGCGGCCGGGGCGGTGCACCCCCTCGGCGGCGGCGGCCGGGGCGCTGCACCCCCTCGACGCGGATAAAAGGACTCAACTGGACGTGGAGGGCGGGGCGCGGGACGCGGTTCGGCGCTGCAGCGGCAGCGGCAACGTGACGTGACGTGCGCAGATGCGGCGACTCGGGAAGCGAGGACTCGGATCGGCAGTTACGCCGGAGGTTGCGCGTCGTCATGTCGTAGCCCCTTTCGCCGACCGTCCGACTCAGTGCGTTCTCTCACCCTCCAAAAATGCAGGCTCCAACCCCACGCGCCAGTTGCACGGCACTCCTCCACCATGTGTTCGCATACTCCGCCCAGTAGGATTATCAGTGCTCCAGTTTTCGCTCTGACCAAAAAGGTAATTCTCTCACTTCCTCTGCGGGCGCCCGCCGATTTCCCACTGCTAAGGATCCTAGTTCCACCCATGAAGGCCTTCCTTGTGATTCACTGAAAAAAAATATGGTAGATTTTACCATTCTCTGGCACAGTGATACGAGTTTGGTAATAGACACCGGACTCTATGCTATCATTTACGAAATGCAGTGTCACCAGGAGTCTGGTGAATGCTACCATAATTCTGGTTATTTTCACGAAATACTATCACTGTGTGAGAAATCCAGTAGGCTCAAAGTAGAAGTTACCATACTTTTTTTCAGTGTTCGAGTGCATTATCCTTTGACCAATAAGCAGATTGTTGCTTTATACAATGACACCAAGTCGGACATAAACTTCTTGTTTCGAGGTTTTACCACTCGTAACTCTTCAAACCTCCACCGTGTTCGTTGTTGAGCTACGTGTCGAGCGATTTGTTCGGCGAACTATATCGATGAACAAAGTGCGGAACTACGTATCTTCGTTTGTGACGTTTCAGACTTATCTCTATACATTATTATTTGTTTTGAAAACTAGTCAACGGAATTTCTTGGAAACTTCATCAACCTTTCTTCTCTGTTAGCAAAATATTCTGCGCAGGTTCTGGGCTGTAAGTTGGCTTATTCTTTTCGAAAAAATAAAATAGAAGCTGTCATTTTGAAGCATCGCAATGGAGGTACGTGGCATTACGCTTTGGCTACGCTGCCGTGGTAAGGAACAACGCCGTGTGAACCTTTAGGCGTTGCCAAATTTCCTTTGATAAAACACGGATTCATTGAGGAAGTTGTAAATATTTTTTTACCAATTTTTCAGTTAATTTTGTTCGCGATTTAATCCAAAATATCTGAAAATTTCAAGGAAAAATATGCCCAACTTTCTTCATATATACATTTTTTATTCGGGGAGATTTGGCAACTCTCGAATGTCCATACGGCGTACTTCCTTAGCATGGCAACACGGATATGGTCCTTTTCCAACTTATCTGGCTCACTTCTTGATACGTTGCTCAACATCTTACTAGAGGTATGGTGAGTTGTGTTTCCTGTAGTAAAATATTGAGTTCTTAAGAGTGTGAGTTCACACCGTGACTACTTGAACAGTAGTGAGAGGGTCCTATTTGTTACTGGTGGCAACTAATTACAACTATTCTCAATCATATTACAGAAGTATCTAGCTTGAGAAAGGCATGCGTTTTGGGGAATATAGGGTATGCTCGTCAATGGGTTGGCAAGGCTCTCCTTTAGACGCCGTGTAAATCAAGCTCCGTGTGGTGCCTTCGCGTGAATGGGCCTGTTGCAAACTTTTGCTAGAGCAAAAATAAGAGTTGTTTCTTATAGATAATGCCTCAAAAATCACGATGAGCGCATCGGCAAAGTCTGAAATGCACTCATAACTTCACAATCTGCGTAAGAAATTTGCGGTTTTTTAAGCTTCCCGCTTCAAAAACGATACTACGGCACAGGTGAACATTTTGTTAGAGGAGTCGCTCCATCGTCGGCGATATTCATCATGGCCGACGCTTGCACGCAGTTCCGCGCGTAATTCAAGGAGAGTTCAAGGTCAATCAATTCGGGCGTGGAAAATATGAACGTTAACACACCGATTGTTATCTGGTCTAATCCAGTTCAGGTGTTATCTCGTCCCATCAAACGTGTTTTGGCGGATTGGCGTCGGCTATGATGATTATTGCCGACAATGGAACGACTCCTCTTACAAAATGTTCACCTGTGCCGTAGTATCGTTTTTGAAGCGGGAAGCTCAAAAAACCGCAAATTTCTTGCGCAGTTTGTGAAGTTATGAGTGCATTTCAGAGTTTGCCGATGCGCTCATCGTGATTTTTGAGGCATTATCTATAAGAAACAACTCTTAGTTTTGCTCTAGCAAAAGTTTGCAACAGGCCCATTTCATTTCACTCCTCAGCGATTACGAAGGAACCAACTAATCCCCGGAACCGGTTCCTTTTTGGTAGAAAGTAAGGCTGTATCCGAATTGTGTCCCGAGCTCTATCCGAATTGCGTACGGCGCATATATCGGGAAGGCGGCAACACCGTATTTGAAAGGCGATGTCAATCGATGATGATCGGGTTTGTTCAGTGAAAAATTCCCGGTGTCTTTAAAAGTTAGTATCGATGGCGAAATTATTGAATCTAATACGATACACAATTACCAAAAAACTTGACAATAACGTTTTGACGAGAAAAAAATTTAGCAACTCTGTAAAAAAAAACAGCAGCAGACATTTTGTTGCCAATAAGAAAGTAATTTTTCAAGTGAAAGTACCGTGACGGAAGGGCCCTTTACACCCTGGATTATTTGTTTTAAAGTTTATGACGAGACTCTCTTGATCTCCATTCGCCAAACGGTTTTTGTAATATGGGAACTTTATGTCAACCGAACCCTACCGTTCACCGCTCTATTCCTGTTTATTTGATTCTACTGTCCGGACATTGGTATCAGCATGAGAAAAAGGTGAGCAACGTTGTCATTTACACCTTCTTCTTAAGAATCAAATGGACGCGATCTGGGACGCAGTTCGGAGAGTCCCGTCGGAGGCAATTCGGAGTCTTCGGGATGGAATCCGGACTCGCCCAATAGTAAGGCTCATTCCTCAACAATCGTAAAAGGACTAACTTACAAAACGTAGAAAATAGATACTTTTTAAAACAAAAATTAAATTCCCTCGGTGTAAGGAAATTAACCTTTACGTCGTTTGAAATGAAATGTTGACCTTAAAAAGTGTGATTCACGGGAATGAAGTTGGAATTCTGCCACTCAAGTTTAACAAGCCTCTTCTCTCCTGATAAAGCTTGCCAAACACTACCCTATAATATAACCTGATTTTCTGCCAAGGAAAAAATACGAGGGCTCAAAACTCTATAAATATGTTTTTAAATGAAAGTAAAAATATCAAGGTTCATCGAGCTTTGTATTTTTCCCAATTAATAAATAAAATAGATAAAAGTAACAATTTTGCTTAAGCCACAGGGAAAGTTAACTCACACGTGGCGTAAATCACAATATTTGCTTCCAAACATCGCGCTAAGGTCACAAATGTTTTCTCTTTAATGCTTGGCAATAGCCCCCAAGACAAGGTTAGAACCAAACTTAATCAAACATGTACTTATTCAACCTGTAAGGAAGAAATTAGAGTGTATGTGTTTGTAAATTCGAGTTTTTGTTGATGAAATTATTTTCTCAATGTCCTAAATTGATCTTGCCAGGTTCACAAGGATTATTATGTATCAGACGATGAACGCTTTTCTGTGAAAAACCTAACTTCAGTAATTTGTCTAACGATAATTGTGTTGCCTTTGATGGATTTAAGCTACGATGACGTTGTTTCATACAGAGTGGAAAGTTTAAAATTATTAATGAAAATATAACAATAAATGTCATAGCCTTATTTCAGAGTCTTTTTTGGAAACTTCCGATACGCGAACGTATGTTGCATGTTTTGTATTGCTTTGATGGAGGCATTAGACAGTACACACATTGAAGAATATGATTTTTCTTCAAAATCTTACGCAGAACATTATTTATACTGCAGGAAGTTCGTAATGATATCATGCATGTGCATTCTTTTCCAAATCCGAAGTGTTACGTCTGCGTATCAATAATTAGTCCAGATTTTTGGCCCTTTTTGCGTCAATCACTCCCAACGTAAAATGTTAGTGTTAGTTAAAACTAGAATATGATTGTTAAATTTATACCTTGTCTATCCTTTCTTTACAGTCTCTAGTCAATTAAGAAAAAAAAGTAGTTAGGGTAGTATCCTGGGAATTTGCAGGGGCACCGGTTTTTCGTCTAGTTTAATAGTGTATAATTCATCAAAATTTTCGGAATTCAACTCAGCTCTTCTAATATTGACCACGTGATTTCTAAAATCATTCTCGCGGTTTAAAACTCGAAAACCTCGAGCAAATCGGCGAGAGGTCTCACCTGGAATTTTCACAATCTCGGAACTGCCTGCAGTATCCTGGGGATTTGCAGGCGCACCGGTTTTTTTCGTCTAGTTTAATAGTAAATTAATTCATCAAAATTTCCGTAATTAAACCCAGCTTTCCTCATATTGACCACGTAATTTCTAAAATCATTCTTGCGGTTTAAAACTTGAAAACCTCGTGCAAATTGGCGAGGGATTTTCAAAATCGTCAGAACTGCCATAGCCAAGCTATAACTTGCTTGTTTCTCGGTTCTCGTAAAGAAATCCTCACTCCACTTCTCCCTGGGTTGTGTTTGTCGGTTCTGTCCGCTGATCCGGCCAGCTTTAATATCATTACCCATGGATAGCGTCTCCTGATTTTTCCCCAATGCTCTTTATCCTGTTTGTTCGCCCTTCGGCTTGACACCTTTCCTCCCTTCGTCCCTTTGGATTAGCGATAACCGTCTTGTCCGCCTTCACCTTTATGTTATTTGTCCTCGACTCACTCGCTCGCCTCCGGAGTGGGGTTATGTTTGCTCCATGCTTTCGTAGATTTTCTTAGACTTAACGTTTGCTCTCACAGCACCGCTTATTTTGCACGGAAATGCACTTTATTTTTATTTATTTTTTTATCTATTTTTTTTTCTTATTTTACAAAGTTTACATAAATCCACCAAAAGGGGTTATTGTAATAGTCAGACATAATTACACATAGGAATTCACAGACATTTCTAGGGCTAGCAAGACTTAAAAAGTTCAAATATAGAGGAAGAAAAGACAGCTTTACATATTGCTCCAGTTAGGAGGCACGCACCCCGCCGTTTCTTTCACGAAAGATCCTGATTACCAAATTTTCTCCCGTAAGTCGTACTTCTATAAGGAAAATCGTCGGGATTTTTCACTAAAAATTTCACTGATTTTACTCCTGATCTCATGCAAGACCAGGGAAAGTTTGGACATAAACTGCATTGCCAGGATCTTATGAAAAATTAAATTGTTTGAGTCAATTTTGCAACCATGGGTTAAAGTTACGTTACTTGGTTCGGGAAATGACTTCTTCCTTC